ATGAGGTCTTTTGTTTTTAAAAGACCAAGGAGAACAGAAGACCAAAATGCACGGAACTAATCTGGCAATGGCAGTAGCCTATATTGTTGAAAATCATTTGAAACGATTCACATCAACTGCCTGCTGGGTGTGTAAATTTGCTGCTTAAGAAAAGATGATAACAAGTTCAGCCAAAGAATTGTTCCTTGGTTCAGAGAAACCAGATCTTGTTTGGTGGTATGGGTCCAATAGTACGAAAAGCTAGCTAGGACATACGAAACCGCATGTCCTAGAGTCAACCAAGAATTAAACGACAAATACATGAATGAGTAATATAAACTTAAACGCAATCACATTTCACAGTCTGCAAGTAATTTCTTGTCTGTTAAAAAGTGCCTAGTTGATTAAATGCAGATTAAAAGCAAAGAAGTGTTTCAGGGTGCGCAAATTAACAAGTGGAATGGACACCTGAGGTTACATAAATTACGAAGGGAAATTCTATTCTATGTTTCATATGTTGCAAATTACTGACAGCGGAAATGTGTTTATATTTAGCGACTTAAGTAACGCATTGGTATTCGTTTAAGAGAATGTTATATAAGTCAGTAGATAATTCTCATCCAAGCGTCCGAAAGTGTCGCGTTAAAAAGTCTCTTGTGTCTTATTTCTGACAATTTTTCGACTAGTAGCGTAAAACCTTGCGAACAGGCAACTAACTGACAGATATAATCTTGGGTCCGCAAACAACAGATAAGACAGGGAAATGTAGGATAAATTTTATTTGAATAGATAATGAGAATATATATATATATATATATATATATATATATATATATATATATATATATATATATATTGGTTTATTTGATTTTCTTTAAAAAAAAGCAATTTATCAAAACGTTCCAAATCAAAATTAGACTCATGATAAATTTCATTGTTTCATAATCTTATCTATAAAAATGTATTTGTGATGTAGTATAAATTAGTCTTAAAACGCACGTTATGATGTTATAGATAACCATCATTCCATTCTTTATTTCAATCTAAAAGGCGGTAAGAAAAGAAAATAGTTTATAAAAGGACCGAACATATTTTTACCGATGAGGCATGAGGTTTCGACCTTTGGTCAAAGAGCTTGGATAACATGACCGACTTTTTGGAGACGATTTTCTTTTTTAACATCAGTACACAATAGACTGGGGAAAACCAATTTCACCCCATTTTAGTGGATTTTTGTAGACAAAAGACAAGTTGTGTAGCAGGAATTTTTTATTTGGAAACAACATGGATAAACGCAATGATGGATAAAATAACTGATGCTTTAAAATATCAGACGATTGATACATGCGTATATATGTAATGCTGGTCGAAAGGTACACAACACTTCGATTTTTGGCAAAATCATTTAGTAACAATTAAACATGGCATTTCAATATGAGTTCAAACTTAAGTTAAGTGGCAACTGCGCTTAAACAAAACGATCATCAGTGGGAATTTTAAAGGGGGAGGGGGATCAGGGGGGTCCCGACCCTCCTTTGGTTTCTAAAAAAGACATCACGCCAATATACTCCTCTTGAAATTAGAGTTTTGACTGGCTGAATCATTCTAATCCGTACCAAAGGGCACCGTTTGCCCTCGAAAAAGATTTTGGGGCCCTTAAGTAGGCCCCGAACCCAACGCATAGGGGGATATGGTCGGCATCGCATCCGAGGCCTGTCGTTCTGGACCCCCCTTCATATAATCCTGGATCCGCCCCTGCTCATGCTACCAACCGATTGGCTGTAGAAAAGCAATCAAAACAGCACCTTTAGATTCAATAGCGCTTGTATTTGTAAAGAATATATGAGCTAAGTTGCAGCAACAGGTACATTAAGTTACACTTTTTTCGATGATTTGATTTTCCCAACAAAACAGGGAGTTTGATGGTGATGATGAGCTGTCACATCATCTGATAAACGTGTATAAATATAAAGAATACGCAAACGTATTTTTTTTTGTTTAAAGGTTGAAAATGCATTGCAAAATCACGACTAGATGATATTTGTCATTAAGTGGATAATCTTCTGTATGATGCGATTAATTGAACGTTGCTGTCAATATTTCGCCCTCAGCATTTATTGATTCCAAGGCCATTGTTGGAAATCTTACGTTGGTCTTTTCATTATATCTCCACTAGTAAACTGCAGTACTCTCTCAAATTTCGGTATAGAATAAAAATGCCTGAAGACTGTAAATTGTTTGGATATAGGTACTAATTATAGTATCAAGGATCTGTAATCTTAAGGCTCATTCCCAAGTGAAGGAGACTAACTTTCTGCATAGATCGATCCAAATCTGTGAGGACTCTTGTTGAATGCAATCAGATTAACATGCCTCCTCTTGTTTGCAATTGTGAGTAATCACTAACTTTCCTGTACTCAACACCAGGATCTGTTAATCTAATTGCCTTCAGCAAGAGTCCCCACAGAGTTCATTTGAAATGAACCTTAGTCTTATGATAAATATCTGGATTAATGGATCACTTTTGGTACCAAAAAATGCTCCACCTTACCACAGATGTTGATAAATTCACAATTTCAAAAGATGACAAAAGTTCCTCCTACTTATAGTTCTATATTGAAACTGGAAAATTTTGATGGTTCTAAATTTAATGTTCTTCTTGCCTTAATTCAATGGTTTCAGACTACCACAAAAAAAAAAAAAAAAAAAAAAAAAAAAAAAAAAAAAAAAAAAAATCCAATTCATGACATTAGCAAAAAAAAGCTTCACAAGTCACACTCAACAAAATTGATGACAAAGTGTCAAATAAAGATACATACACTGATTCGTTTCCTAGGGATCTCTTTATAATACGAGTCACTTTCTCTAGACCAGACATATGTCTTCTCTGTGTCTGTTGCAAGAGGTGCCTAGTCAAACAGGGCCTGCATAGCTGAAAATTTAGAAATTTAAAGTACCAAATAAAATTTGGCAGTAAAGCTTTATAACCAGTAAAGCTAACTTCACAAATCTATGACTACAAGATGTAAAAATTCTTGGATCCATGACAGTGTGGACATGTGAAGGTGGGTGGAAAAAACTGACAGCTTAAAACAAAATTCTGGATTCATGATTATGGCAACACATGAGATGGCATAGAAATTCATGAGTTAGGACTCCTATTTACCACCTGTGGTATGTGCTTTACACATGAAAGATGAAGGTGCATCCAGCTAGCACATCCACCAAAATGCAAGAGTTGTGAAACGTTACCTGTCACCTCCCTAAGTCATACACTGCCCCAGTAACTAATAAATTTGAAGAGCGGACACACTGCTCAAAGTCAACACATAACTTAATATTTAAAATATACTGAAAATTAAAGAGTTATAGGGTGGGAAGGTGGATATGCAAAAGTGCCAATTTATTGACAACATATGATGGTTTACAGACATTTAAGTCTTAGATTATGTGACAATAAAAATCTAATATTATAACTTCTTTCGCCAGTTAAGCAAAAACATAACCCTTACAAGCCGTAACGTTATATTAATATATATGTATAAATTATTTTCAAATTAAGATTTTTACTCGGCCATGGCATGGGCGATTGACATTGTGCAAGCAAAGGCATTTGCAATCATATTTACGAGTTTACAGATTCTTTAAAGAAATCCTTTATGTGTTTCTTGCAGCAAAATACAGCTTACTTACTTTTACTGCTTGCAATAGACGAGACGACATGGTGAGTGGGACGCCTCAAAGTATCTAAAATTGCAAGCAAGTTATTTGGGACGAAAGATGGAGGGCTTGAGAAGTACGATAGGTGGCGTCACTTTCGCTGAGTAGAGTGGAACGTATTGACTCGGCCTTGGCAACAATAAACATGATGTTGTTGGGGGAAGAGAAATAACACTCAACACTATAATATAACAATGCACCAATAGGCAGAAAAGAAAATCGACAGCACATTTTATACACATTCGTTAGGTAAGAATATATGGTGCAATTTGATTGTCATAATAAGTTATTAACATTTGTAGTTTGTTCTATAAGCGTATTTTAAAAAGTGCGCTGGAGAATTTGATTAAAATCAACTTTGATTAATGTTGCCGTGATTAACGTTTACATAGATCTGCTCGACAGTAGATTTTATGTTGGTGTTGTATGACCTTAACAAAGATCAAATGTTGAAGTAAACATCTCTAATACTGGCTATACCGGGTATTACTAGTAATATTAATTGGTACTACGAGTGCACTGTTAAAACACGTGTATTTTAGAAATATATTGTATGTCGCTTTATCGTAGATTGAAGAGAAGTCACAGGTGCTTGCCTATGTTATAACTATTTTGACTGTGATTTAAAAGAGAGCATAGTGCAAAATGTGTTTATCATAATGGCATATCTTTTTAATTATTTGGTATTAATTGTTATTTGCAGGCTTTTATACACTGTACAGATTCTACTCCAAAAGACAAACAGTAAAACATAACAGTAGACCAAGCCACCAAAGATACACTTCCAAGATGACAGCATATCCAATTGTTGGAGAGGTTGCTGCCCTGGAGCCCCCCACCATGTTCAGGGATGTGCCCGAGAAGAATGTCACTTTCCTCATCGACACATCAGGCAGCATGTACATGTCACTGGAAGTGGTTAAAGACCAGCTGATTGAGAAGTTAGTGAAACGAGCCCATGAGAGGGAGGACACTATGTTTAATATCATAGAATTCAACTCTGAGGTCACACAGTGGGCTGACAAGATGGTGAAATGCAGCCCACAGACG